TCATTATGAAATATTTTTAGAACATATTCTAAAAATAAGCAAGTTTTCAGCTTAGGGAAATTGTAATTTAAAGCACATTAAGTAAGGACAGAACAATATGAGCAGTTACTAAGATGAGGAAGGGATGTTCTCAGGAGAAAGCAGTGGAAAGGCATCGATTGAGGCTAGCGGAAAGGTTTGCCAAGCCAGCTGCCACTCCTCTTTCAGGTGAAAATGGTATTTGAGTTTCATCAAGAGGAAAAGCTGAGTGTCTCCCATATCAATAGTTGATCATTTTCCCTCATGCTTTGTCTGACCCAGAAAAGCAAATTCAAGCTGACTGGAAACGAAAAGGCGCATGTACTAATGTTAAGTTTTCCTTACTTGGTCAAGGTCTCTAAGTAAACTATCACTTATTATTTTTTCTTCTCTGAAAAATAGATGAGACCAGTAGAATTATATAGTTTTAGCATATCACTACCATAAGTTAGTGTTAAATGAGTCAAACAAAAGGAAAACTTAGCCAAAATGAAATGAAGCCACTTTGAGATGAATAATGGCTTTCCGTTTCCAATCAACCTAAGGCGCTGCAATAGAACCAGATATTATCAGCACGCAACTGGTTCACCTGTAGTTCTAGAGTCTAGATTAAGCAAATCAAAAAAGTTCCCGGCCTTTTAGTTGAGATTGCTTTAGATTTAACAACAAAGAAGAGTTTCAGATTTCAAGATGCTAAAGAAAGGGTTTGTTATAATAAATGGCTGATTATGAGACTGGGGAAAAGAAAAGGTTTGTTCTGATGAGTAACTATTTCCACCCTTTGGGTTTAATTTTTATCATAAAATGCTGGTATTTTATAGTATTTTATTTACTTATTTATATTTATTTTTCTTTTACAAGTTATGAGTAGGACTTTAGTATTTTTTAATCTTTTACCTAAAGTTTTGTTCCTAAGTTATGATAAAGACCAAAAAAGGTAAAGTCAGATAAGTATGCAAAAAAAAAGGAAAACAGGAGGGTAACAAAGATAAAAATACAGTCAACTTGAAAGGCAGTGTTTCATCCATATGTTAATAATGGTATGAATTCAGGACTTAGGAAGCAGGATAACTGAATGGTAAGGTTCTACTCCAAATGCGCCAGAATATTCAGACACAGTTACCATGAATTACAGAATTGAGATTTGGATACCAAGAGTTCTCAGTCTTTTTCTCAGCATAGTATTAGGTGACTGCCAGCTTCAGAATGCCCTCCCCTTCACCACTCACATAGACACACACAAAGGAATACTTGGAAACAGAGCAGGGCTTCCAGCATCTCATAAATACAATGACAGATTTCCCAAGAATTATACTCAGGGTTAGAGGAAACCAAGGATGGAGAGTGGAGTGGTCTTAAAAAGAAAATCCATAAAGAGATATCTGACCCTAACCTCAGCTACCAGAGCTACAGAGAAGAGAAACAAAGACTTTGTTATAAAGAAGACATTAAAACAAACACATGTACAACATTGATAAGCATTTTGCTCAAAGGGAGAAAAGAACGGGAAGGGCTGAAAGTCTCCACACAAAACAATCTTTTTGATGAAAACATATTTCCTTTTTTCTTCTGGTCTCCTCTATAAGACAGTGCACAAAGTGCTCATTTATATTTTCTTTGTTTTCATCCCAAAGCTAGAAGATCAAAGAGTTAATAAAACCTCCTAGCTATAGAAGGTCATTACAAAACTAAATGCAGCAATTCAAAGTGGAAAATAGAATGAATGCCAAGGAGATGTTTAACGAAGTAACATTCTAGATGTATTCTTTGAAGAACATTTGCAGACTCGTTTGATTGCTTTAGAGCACACAGGGAACAATGCGGCTGCATGGAGCTAACATTGACTGATGGTCGCATTCTGCCGAACCAAAGCCAGGCTGCTTAGAATCACAAGTATATTTGATATGAAATAGTGGAAATATTCATGAGTATTTTGCATAGCAAAATAGTATTTAAAACTTCCACCTTTTTCCCCCTTGAGCCTAATTAAGTGCCCAAACATAAGACATGAGTCTATTCATTAGAAAAATAACTTGAAGCACTATTTTTCCAAAAACTGACGAAGTTGGATGGCAAGATAAGGGATTAGCTTAATGTTTCCCATTAGCTATTGAGATCCTCTTTTTTCTTCTTCTTTTTTTGCTTTTTAGTGCTGACATCCTTATAATGGGAAAAATACAGAATACAAACGGGTGGCTTTGGAAATCATCAAAATCACCACCTTGATTTACTCAAAAGAGATGGGCTGATACACTGGTCTTACATTACAATGTGACATGCCAGAGTTTGCCATTAACTGTATGCTGTCATCTAAATGTTTGAGTTCCCCCAAAATTCTTATGTTGAAACCTAATCCTCAATGCAATAGTATTGAGAGGTAGGGCCTTTAAGAGATGATTAGGTTGTAAGGGCAAAGATCCCATGAATGAGATTAATGCCCTCATGAAAGAGGCCCAAAAAAGTTTGTTTGCCCCTTCATCCATGTGAGGACCCACCTAGAAGTCACCTTCTATGAAGCAGAAAGCAGGCTCTCATCAGACATGACAACTCCTGGTGCTTTGATTTGGACTTCCCAGCCTCTAGAACTGTGAGAAATAAATTTCTACTGTTTATGAATGGCTGAGTTGAAGGTATTTTTTGATAGCAACTCAAATGGACTAAAATACTGTAGCCCTGGGATCTCAGCATTAGGGCCCATTAAGCAGGTTTCTTCCTGGAAAAGAAACAGCAGAACATCTTAGAACATCAGAAGTGCCCATCATGTTGGTAGGGCCAAGGTTATGTGGCAACATGGATGCCAAATGATAGAGGGTATTTAAGGTCTCCTACTGAGGTCTAATCAAATGATGTTTTTCTGACTATTTGAAAACTTGGGAAAAACTTGTTTTCGTATTGAGGTAAGAGGAGATATTTCCTAGGGTAGTTTGAGGGTCATGTTGAGGTAAAAGAAGATTTTCCTAGGGTAATTTAGGGATGGATTGAAGACTGGCATAGCTAGGTATTCACATAATTATTTTATTCAGGAGAGCATAATTTATGTTTTAAAAAAAAGCATAGAAATATTTAAATAACACAGATTAAGATTTAAGCAATTAAACTTTTTAATTATTTGGGGTCAATAACTGACTTATTTCCCTATCAAATGAATCTGTTTTGAAGTGCCATTGAAAGTTGTGCTGATGCCAATAAACAGTCTTTTTGTTTTTCTTTTTGCATCAGTGATGCATGTCACCTTCCTGCAAGGCAACCAGTTCGCAGATATGGCCAGAGGGGAAATTACTGGACAACATAATGAAAAGGGGGCGTAAGTCAGCCAGTTCTCTCAATCCTAGGAAAGGAAACTTCCCTCCTGTGTATGAAAGAGGACGATTGTGCTCAGTACCACTTATCCAGTGCCAACAATCTGGTCAACTCTCTATTCAGTGCTATACCAGGGCTACAGCAAGGTGACCTGGAGTTTGGTGCCGAGATCAGGGAAAGGTCACTGCCTGAAAAATGAAACTAGTCAAAAGAAAAGAATCCTAGGAATGGATGAGGTTACTCATCCACCATAGTAACCCAATCTAAAGATGGCATAGAAAGTATTTCTTTTTTCTGGTAGCCTAGTGGTCAGGGAAAAAATAAAAGAGAAAGAAACCATTTTTTAATATTCTAAAATATTTTTTTTAAATATTCCAAATTCTAAGCCTTTAAATAATCCTGCTGGCCCTTGGCAGCTCATCCCAGGATGCTTTGAAGTGTGGCTGTGAGAATCAGCATTTTGTCACTAAAATGCTTTGTCTGTTTTTTTTTTTTTTTTAACTTATGCTTTTTAGGTTCATCAGTTCCCCTCTTCCCTCACTGTTTTTCCTCCTCATCACCACCATTGCAATTTCAAAACTAAAAATCAGATGCTCGGTATGAAGACACCATAACCCTGTTATTTGAAACTTGCTCTGAACTAGCTGGTTGACTTTCTGCTCCCCAACGTCTTCCTGGTGCCTCCCTGTAAAGGCGGCATGTCCAACATATGCCGGCATGTGGACCTTAGTTGGTCATGATATGCCAGGAGTGCCTGTTTTAAATCAACCCTTTTAAGGTTAAAAGGACTTTAATGCTTGGCATATTTATTTGCCCTTTCATAGCTTAGCTTATGAGATGTAGACGAGTGCTTACAGGGTGCCTGGAATGGAAAGAGGCTACAGGATGAAGGAGCATGGGTTCAGGGTGGCATATTTTCAGCCTTTCCTCCAAAAAAGAAAAAAAAAAGGTCAATGACATTTCTTTTCCAGGATGGCAAAATGAAAACATTTCATGAATAAATCCACAAATAAAATGCTATCACTTTAAAGATGTGAAAAAAACTAGGTGTACTTTGTAAAAGATTTTCATTTTAAATCGGTAGCCAGAAGCAGGTATGTGCAAATGAAATGTTTACTATTCATCTAATTTCTTTTTCTAAGAAACACAAAAATGATGATGTCAGAAAGTATTCAAGTAATTCTCTTCAGTGTGTAGGAGGATGTAGGAGTTTCAACTTCCTTTGGTTTTCTATTTGTGGTCAAGAATTCATACAAGAAAGTCCATTTTGTACAAAATAATTTTACAAAATTACTTTTAAGATGGTCAATTTTCATAGATCAACATCAATAGGTCATATAATATATCTTTTAATATGCGCTCCTTAACTTTATTAGTGAATTGAAAATTATTTATCTTGCAAAACAATAAATTAAAAACAGAATTAGAACGTCTTTGGTTTATATAGCCACAGTATTAAGTTAAAATAGGATAATGCATGTTATACAAAGAGAAATGTAAATGGGGCCTAAAAGAACATTTTTAAGTCAGCTTGACATTAAACATTGAATAGAAAAGTTGACTTATCAAGTTAAGCAAGTCACTACATCACTCTGCTACAAGCAAACGTTTCTTTGTAAATAAGGATGAACTGACAATGCTTGAAAGTATAGTTCATTGAAATCACAAGAAACTAAATATTATGAATGTGTAAAATTCCATGTTTATTTAATATCAGTTACACAGCCAGTTTATTGAAACCAGACTTTGTAAAGAAAATAACATGTCTGATGAACATAAACAATATCATACAGTTGAAATTCATTCTGTATTTTCACCTGAATAAAGATGTCATTATCCAAGAGTTTCAACGATAAAGGCCTTGCCTTGAATTGGTATGGCATCTCTCAGAGGTTCAAGGCAGCACAGGCCTCCATCCAACTCCAGAGAGGTTATCAGCTCTGCATCAAGGAAATTCAGTGATTAGTTTGTCCACACTCAGCTGCCGTGGAACCTTCCCTCAGTATCTGCTTCAACTTCTGGTGTGGATGGTGTCATGAGCACCTTCTCAGAGGACATATCCAGAACTGGAGCTGGGTATTCCTGGGACAAAAAATATGCAGAAAATGTAAAAAGGTTCACTATAGTCACAGAGAAGTATGAGTGTTACAGTACTTAATAATGATACCAACAAATATCAATTTTATTTTTATTGTTGCCTATATATATTAAGGTTTACTATGTGCCAGGTTTGGGTTAAGCACTTTACATTCACTAGCTCATAAAATGGACATCAGAACCTTATAAGTCCTAAAATTATCTTTGCTCCAGGGGCCAAGAACCTTGAAAAAGTGATAGAAGCAGGGTCCTTTTGTGTCGTAAAACACAGCCCAGGCAAGACTAGTAGCTTCCTTTTCCCAGTGTTGTGATGAATGAATAGTTCCCTCAAAGTTACTCACAACACTTTTTCCACCCTACATTTCTCTCTTTCATTCAAATTTATTTTTTAAATTGACATATAAAATGTTATGTATTTACTGTGTACATCATGATGTTTGGAAGTATATATACATTATAGAATGGTTAAACCTAGCTAATTAACAAATTTATTACCTCATGTAGTTATCACTTTTGTGGTGAGAACACTTAACATCTACTCTCTAAGCATTTTCTGAGATACAATCTATCATTATAGTTGCTGTGCTGTACAATAGACCTCTTGAACTTATTTCTCTGATCTAGCTATAAATATGTATTCTTTAACCAACTACATCTCCCCACCCTCAATCACCTAATCACCCCAGCCTCTGGTAACTATCATTATACTCTCCACTTCTTTTCTTTCTTTCTTTCTTTTTTTTTTTGAGGTGGAGTTTCACTCTCATTGCCCTCTCTGGAGTGCAATGGCATGATCTCAGCTCACTGCAACCTCTGCCTTCTGGGTTCAAGCGATTCTCTCACCTCAGCCTCCTGAGTAGCTGGGATTACAGGCACTCGCCACCATGCCCAGCTAATATTTTTTGTATTTTTAGTAGAGATGGGGTTTCACCATGTTGGCCAGGCTGGTCTTGAACTCCTGACCTCAGGTGATCCACCTGCCTCGGCCTCTGAAAGTGCTGGGATTAGAAGCGTGAGCCACCGTGCAGGGGTTTATACACTCCACTTCTACGAAATCATCTATTTTAGATTTCACATATAACAGATCATGCAGTACTTGTCTTTCTGTGTCTGGTTGATTTTATTTAACATAACACCCCCCAAATTAATCCATGTTGTCACAAATAACAGGATTTCCCTTTCTTTTATGACTGAATAGTACTCCGTTGTGTGTATATATACCATATTTTTTTTTATTCATTCCACTGTTGATGGGCATTTAGATTGATTCCATATCTTGGCTATTGTGAATAGTACTGCAATAAACATGGGAGTGCAGCTGTATTGTCAACATATCGATTTCCCATTTTTTCTGGATGTGTATTCAGTAGTGAGATTGCTGGATCATATGGTAGTTCTATTTTGAAGTTTTTGAGGAAGTTCCTTATTGATTCTGTAATTGCTGTATTAATTTAAATTCCATAAACAGTGTGCAAGTGTTCTCTTATCTCCACATTCTCACTAACACTTGTTATCTTGTTTTGTTGATAATAGCCATCCTGATAGGTGTGAAGTGATATTTTATGTTTTTTCATTAGTGTTTCCTGTATGATTAGTGATGTGAAATGTTTTTCTCATATATAGTACCTGTTGGCCATTTGTTTGTCTTCTACTAAAAAAAAGGTCTATTCAGGCCTTTTGCCCATTTTTAAATCAGGTTGTTTTCTTGCTATTGAGTTGCTTTTATAGAGACCAGAGAACTAAAATTCTTGATATTCTAGGAAGACCTCTATATGTCTGTCTGATAATATTTTCCTTTTCCTTACAATTTTTATATTCAAAACCACAACAGTTTCTCTTTGCTGCGAGGAGTTGCCATGTGATGGATTCTGACCAACAAGATGCAAGCTGAAGTTGCTAATTAGGACTCCTTAAACACTTTTAAAAAGAGACGGACTCATGCTCTCTTCACCCTTCTTCTCTGCCCATTTTGAATTGTCTATCGTTAGACTTCTTGATACATGAAAAAATTATTTTCTGCTAGGCCATGTTAATTTGGTTTTCTTCTGCTTGCAGCTGACTGTACTGATTATCTAAAACTGCATTATAAAGTTTTGTGACTAATTAGAGGGTGGGAGTAATGATCACTAATATTCGTTAAGTAAAAGGGTAGATGATTGAATCATATATCTTAATTGTGGTCTATTCTGTACCACATTTTTACAATAAATTAATGTTGAATGAACTTCTTTCTATTTGATACTAAACACTCACACATCTGAAATAGCTGTCAGTATTTCTCCTTGCTAAAAGTATACAGATGAAAAATAAGATAAACCGTCTGGGCCATGTGTACCTAAAGAACGGCTATAGGGCTTGCCCTGATCAGAAGGTTCCACAAACTAGTACTGAACACACCAGGGGCCCAACAGAGAAGAAAATGAGGAAATCTAGGAGAGAAAATAGGGAACTGTAGGAGAAGGTAGGATACTCAAATTTTATGAAGAATTTTTCGATTAAATTGAATAAAACTTACTTTCTAATCTCCCGTTAATGATTGAAATCCGATTTCCAACACTTATTGGGTATGTGATCTTAGACAAGGTTGTTTCACCTTTCTGAGGTTACCATATTTTTTTAGCCATAAAGTCAATATTCTACAATCCATCTCATAGTATTGTTTTGAGAATTAACTAAAGCAGTGGCTGTGAATTGCCTAGTACTGCGCTTGGCACATAATATGAAGTTAGCAGATTTTAATTCCCTCTCTGCCTCCTCTCTACCTGATTCCCCACTGCTCATCTCCATTGGCAGAAGAATGACTTTAAAGACATCTGTCTAATCTCTAAAAGCATTTTCCTTTTCTTACCTCACCACTCAGTCATTATACAAAGACATCATTTCGTTAGACACAGATACTAGTGAAAACAATGCCTCCGACAAGGGTGTAAGTTTCTGGAAGGCATTAACCATCACTTAAAATGTCTATATCACTTACATAACTTGAGTTTCTAAAGATTTCCAGCTATGTTATCTGAAAAGAAAAGAACTTTGAGCTATTTAATTTTTAAATAGTTTTTTAAAAATATATATTTTATTGCATTTTAGTTTCTGGGGTACATGTGAAGAACATGCAAGATTGTTGCATATGTACATACATGGCAATGTGGTTTGCTCCCTTTCTCCCCATCACCTACATCTGGTTTTTCTCCCTATGTTATCCCCCCACAACTCCCCACTCCTCTCTGACCCTCCCCTATTTCCCCCCGACAGACCCCAGTGTGTGATGCTCCCCTCCCTGTGTCCACGTGTTCTCATTGTTCAGCACTCGCTTATGAGTGAGAACATGCTGTGTTTTATTTTCTGTTCTTGTATCAGTTTGCTGAGAATGATGGTTTTCAGGTTCATCCATGTCCCTACAAAGGACATGAACTCATCGCTTTTTATGGCTGCATAGTGTTTATCAGTCCAAATGACTCACGTTTTTCAAGATATAATCTTGTCAGTATTTACCACCAATTAAGCACAATACTTGAGGACCCACAAAGAAGTTCTGAACATAGACAAACCCACATTTTTTATGATAACAAGAAGGCATACCAAAAAGAAAAGAACCCCAATGTAACATATAATATAATGGTTGCTTACTATTCACTATGCTAAGCATCTTCATACATTACCAATAATCCTTTCTAAAACTCTGCAAAGCAGGTGTTGCTAGCTCCATAGTATGGAAAGAAAAAACAAGGATCCAAGACTTGATTAGCACTAACTGCTAAGTGAATCCAGAATGCCTTAGCCAGAGTGTGAATTCGTATCTTTTATGTTCCAGTGTTTGAGTTCTTTGCACTTACACACTGCAGAGCAGAGGACATGCAGATTATAGAGTTCTGGGGGGAAAAAGTAAAAAATATCATCCATATAGGTTTTTTGTTTTGTTTTGTTTTTTGTTTGTTTGTTTTTTGAGGCAGAGTCTTGCTCTGACGCCCAGCCTGGAGTGCAGGTTTCGGCATGATCTTGGCTCACTACAACCTCTGCCAATGGGTTCAAGTGATTCTCCTGCCTCAGCCTCCCGGAAAGCTGGGACTACAGATGTGTGCCACCATGCCAGGCTAAATTTTTGTATTTTTAGTAGAGACGGGGTTTCACCTTGTAAGCCAGGATGGTCTCAATCTCCTGACCTCATGATCTGCCTGCCTTATAGAACACAACATTTTGGGATCTTAATTATTCAGATCCATGGCATCAAAATTAATTGTTGTTTATACAATAAGCAATAAAATAACAAATATTTTTAAAGAAACATATAAAGTTCTCACTTAATTTTTACAACATTTCTGTAAGGTAGATATTATTACATCTTCATATGAATAGTTGTTGAAATTCAGAGAGATAATGACTTTTGTAGATAACAAACCTTGAACCCACACCCTGGCCTCATGATGTATTCTAAAGTTCTTTCTTCCACACCACAATATTATACTTTCTGTGTTATTTTGATTGAATTTCAATGAACAAAATAAATAAATAAAGAGATGAAGGGTGTTATGGTTTGGCTCTGTGTGCCCACCCAAATCTCATCTCAAATTGTAACCTCCATGTGTCAAGAGAGGGAACTGGTGGGAGGCTATTGGATCATAGGGATGGTTTCTTCCATCATATTTTCACGATAGTGAGTGAGTTCTCACAAGATCTGATGGTTTAAAAGTGTAACACCTCCTTCTTTGCTGTCTTTCTCTCTCTCCTGCCATCATGTAAGACATGCCTTGCTTCCCTTTCACCTTCTGTTCTTATTGTAAGTTTCCTGAGGCCTCCCTAGCGATGCAGAACTGCGAGCCAATTAAATCTCTTTCATTTATAAATTACCCAGCCTCAGGTAGTTCTTTATAGCAGTGTGAAAACAGACTAATACAGAAAATTGGTACCAGGAGACAGGCACTATTATAAAGATGATCTGAAAATGTGAAAGTGACTTTGGAACTGGGTAACAGACAGAGATTGGAACA